TCAATACCCCGTCCGGTATGAGGGTGAAACGAGTCGTCCCCATACCCGTCCGGTATGGGCGACAAAACACAGAAGATCTCCATACCCCGTTCGGTATGAGAGACCACGTTCCCGGTAGGGTTCCCTACGAACCCGGTCCGTCCACCATCTCTTAGGATATCTAGTCAGACTGTCCACATTATCCACTTATCAATTCACGTAACCTTTTATTCCTTTTTTCCTCAGTCACTATCATCAAATCACACACAAACATGCAAACCAGTAGTTTATGCCAAACAAGACAACACACAATATCAGGTTCTCAGTCATTCAACCCATAGTCAATAAAACAGTGATATATGCACACGAAACTATGAAATGAAAACATCAGACATCATACTGCATTTAAAACTGTAAATTAAATCAAACAATAACAGACCAACACTGTATCAGACTCGGGCTCCATTGGCAACTTTAATTAATTATACATTTATGAAGTCACACAGTACAGTTTAATTATTTATTTAGCTTTAATACCGTGATAGGAAACAGGGTGAAGGGTCCTTACTTGTTTCGGAGTCTGAATACGGCTCTACAGTGCGCCTACAGGCTGTCCCTAATTTTTCCTGAATTTTTTCTGGGAAACTGAAACGCACTACTGGTACCTGCACGTGTCCCAAAAAATCCCAAATTAGACCAAGGGCCCCATTCAGCCAATATCGCAATTCCGGCACGGCGGCTCCGTCGTGCTCCGGCGACGACAATTCGCCTCGGGTTGGCCGTTTTCGGCCACGCTTGCATCGGTCCCTGCGATAGAACAGCCCTAGGGCCCTCGGTGGGCCGAAAAATCACGAAAAACCGAAACTTACCGGCGGCGGTGCTCTCGGGTGCGGCGGCTCCTCCAGCGTGAGTCGCGTTTTGATGTTTGGCTCCGATCAACCTATAGAGAAAAGAACGGTGATCACAGTGGTATAAAATTTACATCAAACGGAGGCCGGGAAGGGCCTCATCGGAGGTAAAAACTGAGGAGGGGTGCGACAGTGCCGCTAGGTTTCGGCTGGGTTTTCCGGCCGTTTGGCCGGTGGTTTGGCTCTGGTTTGGCCATAGGTGGACTCAGCGTCGAAAAACGAGCAAGGGGGAGAAAATTTACCTCGATCGACAGTCGGAAACTTCCCCGGTGCGGCGGCGGGTGGCGGCAACTGGCTCCTCCGGCATCTGGTTCTTCTTCTCCAGCGAGCATTGGCGGCTAGGGTTTCTTTGGTCAGGTGTGGGTGGGGGTATTTATACCCTTTGCCTTTTAATCTCAACTGTCCATCAAGTTTAAATCTGGACCGTTCGATCGTGATTTAATTAGGATTAAATCTGGGCCATCCACCGCGATGCAATCTGGGCCGTCCGTGCGCGAGGGAACGGATCTGGGCCGTCCGATCGCGCGCACGCGGATCGCCCACGTGGCCCGTCACCTGGTCAGCGTTTCCTTGCCACACGGCGCGTCCTGGTTAGCTGGGGTTACTGACCGAGCTGCTGACGTGGCTGCTGACGTAGTGCTGACCGAGCTGCTGACGTGGCTGCTGACGTGGCACAACTTTTATAAATTGTGTTTTGACCCCTGGTTTTCGATTTTCTTTTCAAAAATACCCCCAGAATCTAAATTTTCACCCCTTTTTTCCAAAATCAATTTCAATTAATTCCTAATAATATTTTTACCCAATTTTATCATTATTATTATTTTTATTTTCATTAAATTAAATCAAATTAAATTAAATTAAATTAAAAATCAAATAAAATTCCAATAATTACAAAATAAAATAAATAAAATAAATAAAATAAATTGAAAAAATAATAATAAATAATAATACAATTGGGGTGTTACAACTCTCCCCCCCTTAAAGAAATTTGGTCCCCCAAATTTGCCTCTTACTCTTGGTCGAACAAATGGGGATACTGGGCTCTAAATTCTGATTTCAGCTCCCAAGTAGCCTCCCTGGGCGTGTGGTTCTGCCACACGACCTTTACAAATGGTATTTTTTGGTTGCGGAGTATTCTACTCTTTCGGTCCGTGATATCGACTGGTACTTCTTCATAAGACAAGTCCTATTGGAGTGGAAGCGGTTCATGAGCCAAGACATGAGAAGGGTCCGAGTTGTACTTACGTAGCATGGATACGTGGAACATGTTGTGGACTCTGGAGAGCTCTGGAGGCAGTGCTAGTATGTAGGCAGCAGTACCAATCTTGTCTAAGATTTCAAATGGTCCAATATACCGGGGGTTTAATTTTTCCCTCCTGTCGAACCTACTAATTCCCTTGAAAGGAGTGACCTTAAGAAACACCTGGTCGCCTTTCTCAAACGCTAGGTCTCTCTTCCGGGTATCTGCATAACTCTTCTGCCTACTCTGAGCTGTCTGAATGTTCTTCTTGATTTTAACTATCTTGGACGTGGCCTCCTCTACCAACTCCGGGCCGAACAATCTTCTATCACCCACTTCCTCCCAACAAATCGGTAATCTGCATGGGCGCCCATATAACGCCTCATATGGAGCCATGTCGATACTTGCTCTGTTGTTGTAGGCAAACTCTATCAGGGGCAGATGGTCGTCCCAATGGCCCCCGAAGTCAAGGACAAAAGCTCGGAGCATATCCTCAAGTGTATGAATTGTCCTCTCTGATTGTCCATCAGTCTGGGGATGGAAAGCAGTACTAAGAGATAGCTTTGTTCCCATAGCTTGCTGGAAGCTACTCCAAAACTGGAAAGTGAACCTGGGATCCCTGTTGGACACTACTGTTACTGGAACCCCATGCAATCTGACTATCTCCCGGATGTACATCTTTGCCAACTTGTCCAATGAATCGGTCATTCTGATGGCTAGGAAGTGGGAAGACTTAGTAAGTCGGTCAACGATTACCCATATGGCATCGTGTCCTGAACGTGCCTTGGGTAGCCCTGATACGAAGTCCATGGTGATATGTTCTTACTTCCACTCCGGGATTGGTAAAGGCTGAAGTAACCCACCTGGACGCTGATGCTCTGCCTTGACCTGCTAACATACCAAACATTTAGATACAAAGTCGGCTATGTCTCTCTTCATCCCATGCCACCAAAACCGGGGTCGCATGCTTTGGTACATTTTGGTGCTTCCTGGATGCATGACAAACTTCGAGCTATGGGACTCCGTCATGATGTCCCTTTTTAACTCACTATCACCTGGGACACACAGCCTGTCTTGGAAACGAAGTAGTCCATCGGCAGATATTCGGAATTCTGAGCTCCCTCCCTGTTTTGCATCCTTCTTGTGGGCTACCAGGGCGGGGTCAATTGTCTGGGCTTCCCTTATTCTCTGAATTAACTTGGGCTGGACTGTCAGGCGGCCCAAACATGTGACTCTCTTCAGATCATGAAGTCGAACCTGTTGTGTGGCCCCAATTGGTCTGCATTCTGAAACCATCAAATGAGCTAAGATACTTACACTTTTCCTACTGAGGGCATCTGCTACCACGTTACCCTTACCCGGATGGTATAAGATGTCACAATCATAGTCTTTAAGGAGTTCCATCCACATTCTCTGACGCATGTTGAGATCCTTCTGAGTGAATATGTGTTTCAAACTCTTGTGATCGGTATAGATCTGAAAAGTCTCTCCGTACAAATAATGGCGCTAGGTTTTCAAGGCATGAATGATTGCGGCAAGTTCCAAGTCATGGGTGAGATAGTTCTTCTCATGATTCTTTAACTGTCTAGACCCGTATGCTATAACTTTTCCATGCTGC